GAGTGTGACTGGTGGGCACAAAATGAATGACGTGTTTTCTTTAACAGACCTTGTCCAATAATCTGCGATGGTTATACTGGATATCGTTCCCTTTGGGTTTTTATTTCTCTATATCTCTCTCTGTTTAATTGGCTATCTCGTTGGCTCCCTCCCTGTCTACATATATCTGTGCATGCATATATCTTAATGTCTAACGTCCTTGTTTGTCTACATCCCTCCGTGTCTCTCTCTCCGAACCCCATCCTCCACGTAGGTCAACACCATTTAGAGCATCCATCCACTCTAGAACCTTAAAATTATTAACCTCACTTATTGGCCTGCTCGGCGCCCTGCCAGATTCAGATGTCTTATTCGGTTAGAATTCCACGGTTTGGTTTTGGCTCAGCTCTAAAAATGGCAAGTGGAAAAACCTGCATCTTGAGTGGGAGGGCTCGAATGTGTCAGTGGAAAAAGGGGCATGAGTGTTGCGAAGTCGTTGCCAGAACCGAGTGAGGTTCCGACGCATTAAAGCCATTTCCCCAGAAGCTGAGCCTTAGTCCACATTATTCTCTAACCTACAGTACATGCATACATGTGTAGTGACTAACTCGGAGACGAATAGAGTAGGAGGCACTTCTTTATTAACAAGCACCAACGGGGTTAACACTTTTATAATGTCTTTCTATGGTCGGCGACGTTACTCAGTCCGGACAGTTGGTAGGCTGCCTGACTGGTGACGCCCCGAGATGGTGAAGACGGAGACGACGACAAGAAGGATGGTGAAAACGATGAGAAGAATGGTGATGAAGACTTCAGCAGCACGATGGGGATCCCACTCCATACAACAGCCCCAAGGTCCCCTACAGGGGCCCATCTTATACTGGCAGCGTGGGCTGGCTACGCCCCCGGACACGCCCCCTTTCTGGAACCTACCAGCAGGTTCTTGGTGTGGCCCTTCTGTGACCTTTCCCCTAGATCCCCCTCTGGTGTATAACCTGGCCTGCTGATGTCAGGGCTGCCGAAAGCCGCATATACACCTTCCTTGCCAGAAGCCAGCGCTATGAGGCTACACTGCTATTATTCTATGCCACTACACATGTCTAGGGGATATCGAGGTGCCTTACCGAGCCCACTCTGACCATACGTCAGAGGGAGGCGCCAGGCAATAGCCCTAGACAATGATTAACGAGCAAGGAGTGCTAGAGAAAGGAATCAGGAGTGGGGAACTTCACGGGAAAGTGTAGAACTGTTGGAAGAACATAGGATTGGTGGGTGGAGATAGGGGGTGGAGCAGAACTAGTGGTGAAGCGGATACAAGAGAGAGGAAGGAGGGAAGTTCTGATTTGCGGAGTCTGAGCAAGCGTGCGTGACCTGCTTTGTAATCGGTTGTCACCTGTGGGTCGTCAATAAAGATACCTTTGCTGAACACCGCGTGAGCTGAGTACCCTCAAATGGAACTGCTTTTAAATATATTTGTATTGATCACTAATTTCATTTTTGGTTTGAGATGTTTCCGTGGTGTAATGGTTAACACACTGGACTTGAAATCCAGAGGCCAATGGTTTGGTTCTATCTCCCAGTGCGGCAGTTGAATCGATGGTCAATTTCTTTTTTTTTGTAGTTCCTCTGCCTCAATGCATCGAATATACATGGGAACACCGCATGTAGTCAATCAACAGGCGGGGTGTGTGTGGCGGAGTAAAGTGTAGGTATTTCCACAATTTGCACATACGTTTGGCGAATTGGAAGAGTAAGCCATTGACCAGATATAGCCCCTTTTTGCAACTGCGATTTTAAACCATTAACCTTACCCATTGCACAGACTGTATTGTCGTAGTTTGATCTTAGCTTGTTGCTGTTATTGTTGTTTCGCTGCCTTGCCCAAGCATACATTTTATCTTGACAATAGAGCAAAAAATGTTTCGACGAGTGCAATGTATACTTCCATGCTTGAACTATATTTGGTTTTTCACTGATTTTTCTAAACGTTTTTTATATATTACTCTTGTATACTCTCTTGTATTATTTGTTGATGGAATTTTTCTGACCCGCCCCTACTGGCTGGACATCGGTGAACAAGAGATTTGTATCTTCATCAGATTCCTCGAGGAAAATGTTTTAACATTCTGATTCTGATCCAGAAGAGTCCTCGAGTGCGCAACCAGAACTTGTGGGGGAGCCGTCACCTCCGATTATCACGGTTGGCGACGTATGGTGTGAAAGACGTTCAACACACATACGTGCATACATTCTATCAGCATGATTGGCTACGTACCGTGCGAAAGAAGTTCGTGCCGTGCGAAAGAAGTTCGCACGGTACGTGCTATTCCGATTCATATTTAATGTGAATGGCACGCTCAATTGCCAAATATGTTCGAATTTGTTGTTGTTGTGTTTCACGGGTGTTTTTGTGATTTATGCTTCGCTTCAGCTGTGTTATTCTAAAACGAAATAAAAACCGTCTTGCCAACCAAGGAGACCATTCAGAACTAAACCTCGTTGCACGTTTTCTTAGCGGGGTCGTGTTGCCCCCACTTCTGCCATGTGATCAAGAATAACGACGGCGTGGCATCCGAGAGGTATGGGACGCGTACGCGACGTGGTCCACAGTCGTACATCATCATCATTATCATCGTTATCACGTATGTTTTTTTATCAATTCACTCCATCATCATTATCGTTATAATGGTTATTTGTATTCATTCACTCCCTCATCATCGTTATAATGTCTGTTATTTTTAACCCACTCAATCATCATCGTTATAACGTTTATTATTGATTCACTTCATCATCGTTATAGACGTTATAATTAGTATTCGGTCACTCCATCATCAACAGCACAGCTGCACAAACAGTCACGGGCCGCGACCACACGTGTCAACACATCACTCACGACAGCTTGCGGTCGATGTGGGTTTTTTGCACGCACGAAGCAATAACGCCCTCTCGGGCGAGTCATGAAGTTTTATTTGTGTTTTGTGATTTCGCTGACGGCTCCCCCACAAGTTCTGTAAACTACGCGGCCACCACCACCCACCCAACGCTTACTCCTGACTCATCACAAAATTCCCGCTCACCACTGCAACCCACCAACTCACCGCCCCTCCCTTCCCCCCTCCCCTCAACATCCAACATCACACGCCGCTCTTTGTCAAGTATAGAATGCTCCAGTTGGACGCGGGCACGCGGCGCACTGGTGAGAATTAATAGGTTCTGCTTGCTGAAGAAGATAACTGCAGGGTTCATGACCTGTGGAGGTGGTGAGGTAAGGGTCGGCTATAGTGTTTGGTGAGGCGGAGGATCCGAGTTGGTATTGGGTGGTGAGTTATGTGGAGGTGAGCGATGGATGATGTGGTGATGGGTAGCGGATTGTGAGTGGTACGTGATTGGGTGATGATGAGCAGTGGATGGTGAGTGGTACGCGACTGGGTGGTGATCGGCAGTGGATGGTGAGTGGTACGCGACTGGGTGGTGATGGGCAGTGGATGGTGAGTGGTACGCGACTGGGTGGTGATGAGCAGTGGTTGGTGGGTGATGTCAGTGTTCCTGGCGAGTAGATCTCTACATAATTGGGTTTCCACGCGAGGTACTTAGACTCCATGTCAATATATGAATCTTTTCGCGAGCCGAGCGAGTTTTTGGATCGGCGATGGGAAGAGTGGGTGTTGAACAGTGGGTGATTTGGCTGTAGATGGATAGCGATGTGCGATTGGGGATCGAAGTTTGTGGTGAGTTATGGTGGGAGGTGGCAATTGGTGATGGTTGATAAGATGAGTCGTTGTAATCGGTGATGGACACCAAGTTATTGGTGATGACGGACGGTTGATGTTTGGTTGCTGAAGAAGGAGTGATGACGTACGGGTGAATGGTAAGCAGTGAATGATAGATGATATTGGTGGATACAATCGATGGGGTGATGAGCTTTTCCGCGATGAATAATGAGCCAATCAATACCACAGTGCTCACCGCTCCTTGTGTGATACAATCCTATGGTGTAGACGCTTTTATAAATCCACGTTGCATTTTGCTTCACTCACAAATTAATCCATATGTATCATCATCATCATGTAGTACAATAACGATGCATAAAATCGCATCAATACAAACGACCAAACGCGTTACACACGATGAGAAGGCATTCACGGCCATGGCCAAACCTTGTGATGGATTCCAATTCGTATTCACGAAGGGTATCGCGTGCACTTGTGAGAGGGTGGAACTTGCGTGCAATTGGTGGCTGGCGACGGCTTACAGCAGTTTTTTGTTCTACGATTAAAGTCCCACTGTTTTCACGTCGCACGCGCCGTGGATTCTTGTTAAGTTCGATTAGTTGCTTAATCCCGAGCTCGTTAGTGATTGTACGTAAATAAAAACCCCCCACAATAATCCGTAAATGAGCGCGATATGCAAGGGTTAACAGATTTAGCAATTCAAAATGTAAGTCTCACTCGTCGTATCCATGCGTCGTATTCCATCCGATTGTCTTTAAGACGCGTGCTGGGTTAATATGATAAATATATACTATATATACAAGCGATCAAGCAATAGAATCGTTATGAAACAATTAACTCAAAAACAAAAAAGAATAGCAAAATTTTTTCAAAAAAACACCCAACTATATAGACTTGTAGTATGTAAGTTAATTGCGTGGGAAATAGAAAACAATACTATATTTTTATCAACCCAACGGCAAAAAACTAACAATTGCTGTATGTAACCGCCATTTTTTTAAAATACAAAGTAGTAACAATCTGAAAAAAAAACACAAAAGTAACACAGATTTAAGGTTGCAACATATGTAGACCGTAACACGTTGTTTAGTTACGTGCGTTCATCAATACTAAACATACATACACACATGGTGCACGTATATATAAAAAAACGGCCCGAAATTTTGCCACATTTTCTGGTGATACTGGAAAATTTGGGGAAATAAAACTGGAAAAATAAACATCGAAGCAAACTTCGCAGCGAACACAATGCACCACATGTCACCATAAAACATCCACCGCCCTCTGCAGTTGCTCTGGTACCAATACCCCCGTCCGTGCGGTCACCGAGGCCAGCACTAGCCCCTCGAAATGCCCAGGCTACGTTGCTACGACCACGACGCCGACGACGACCACGCCCGAATTCATCCCTGAGACCACCACCTCGCCGCAGCCCGTGATCACAACCCAGAAACCCAAGCCTCTGTGGAATTTCAACTGCACCTCAATTCAGGAGAGGAAGAACGACGGTGGCGACTGCGGAAAGCCCGCCTGCACAACTCTCCTAAACTGCGCGAATTTCCTCAGCTGCCTCTGCTCGACCTGCGCCCTCTGCAGGAAACGTTGATCGGCGTGCAAAGGTCGGGGATGGCGGTGGGAAGGCGGGCGCGGTGGGGTGGGGGTGTAGTGGAGAAGGTGGAGGAGGAGGAGTGAGGAGAAGGAAGACCAGGAAGAGGGGAAGAGTAATAAGCAGAGACGATTTGAAAGGTTGACAAACTTCTCGCGCAAACTCCACCACCTTCGCGTCCGAACGACCATGAGGATACCGCGACGACGACGATGATAATGAACAACCCAGCAAGGAATCAACGACCACTCTTGTCGAATCGCTTCGTCAGCGGCTGTTGCCGACACACACGCACGCACGCGCACACGCACGCGCGCATTTGAAAACAAATAGAGTTCCGATTTAGTTTGTTTGGTTTTTACGATCCGTGTGATGCAGCAGTTTCGGCGACTGTCGATTTCGTCGCTTATTTTACTTAGTTTATAATTTTATGTTTTTATTAGATCAAATTATATAACTTGCATATTCTCTTCTTTAAAGTATAGTCAACAGTTATGCAAAACGTTAATCACCGCTTAAGTGACGTTTCTTTGGTAGCTAAGAGTTTAATTCTACGAGTTCATGCCTGGAGAGTTGAGTATTTTGTCACCCAATACCCTCGATCGTGTGTTTTCGTGACGCGATCGCTGTTCCCTGGCTCGGCTCTCGGCTACTGTTTACCATTCGCCCACGTCTGTCTTCGCTTCATCCATACAACTACAAAATAAAAATGATTTAAAATTTCAGTCGTTGCATTTTCGCTGTCACTCTGTTCGCGATGCCCACGCGTCACGGTCACTCTCGGACCCTCGCAACGGTCTCACGGTCCGACTGAAGGTTTCATTGGGTCTCTTGATACAGGACACTGATACATATGTTCATATATATAGATATATATGGTAATTGAAAAGTAATTTAGGACTTTTTTAATAGAATATGGATAGAACATTTTACATAGAGACAGTCGTTGGTAGGGGACACTGATATTAACTTCAGTTAGAGAACATTCATAGGGTATAGAGTACATAACACCATTGACAGGAGATTTCATTTCACACTATCGATGGAGCATATAGTACAGAACATTGAGAGGAACTTTAGCACAAGGACATTAACATAATATATTGCACAAGGTGTCCATGAAGTCCCTACCTATTTTATTGAAATCAAAGCAATTTAGGGCACACCATGCAATAATAAAATCAGAGGTGTACTTCTTAATAAAACTTAAGCATTGGATTCTAGACGAGCACTATCAATATCTCTGCACAGCTCAAATCTTGTCAGCTGCATTGCGGAACACATTTTGCAGCATCTGTGGAGTTATTATTAGTAACTGCAGCCCCCTATATACGATCTCCCAAATCTTATCGAGCTATAACTCATGTTTGATAACAGCTCCTGACTTGATAAAGCTCCTTGCTTCGGAGATGGAGCTGTCCAGGACCTGTTACCGCCGCGTCCAATCCAGCAATTTGGAACACGTCCATGAAGGTTCTCCCGAACGATGCTTGCATAACGATAATGGAGCCTCATCTTATTCAAAGTGTTATTACCATCACACGTTCTTGTACATTCATATTCATAGGATCCTGAAAATACATATACCATTAGTTCAATCAAATAGATCGGGACTTAATATACACCCTGCACAGAACATGCATGCGAACAATAGTGATAGAATATTTACAGGTGCTTTAGCCTAGAACATTTTTTTTTTAAAATCGATACAAACCACACTCATAGCACTTTCCACCGCTACGTGGTATTTGGTACAGATGGTCAATAGGATCCCTGGTACCCACCAGTGATTGGGACCACAGAGCGTTTGACAAACAATATTCAATCAAAGGGCCCATGGACACAAACGTGGCTTCGGTAGAGAGAATCTCCTTATAAGTATTGATGCACAACATTCATTTATAAGGTGTTTGATATCAACATCACTGTTGGTAAACACTATTAATATTGCCTATGGAACAAAACGATAGCACTTGGTATCGCTGTCCCTTTATGAGCAAGGACGACGATGACGCCGCTGATAAATATCTCGGCTCGTGTGCGCGACTGTGGCTAAGGGGAATATTGTGTGGGTGGCGGTATGTCCCCCCACAGTGGCTGAACTTGTAGTTTGACGTTTGAGGAAAGGCTTGAATTGAGTTGTTTTTACGAAGTCAATTGAGTCCCATTGACGTCCAGATGGTCGAGATTTTTTTTGTTTACAAAAATTAATAAGATTGCAGAACACAAATAGGACGATGATCACGGTATATTAAGCTGCTTGGCATCGAGATGTCCGTTAATATTGACAATATATTTTGCAACGAGATAGATTGTGGCATGTCATGGCTTTCATGGCATAATTGTATTTTTTAAACAACATTGGCAATCCCATATTCGGAGAACATGAACAGAACACCATTAGAACAAATGTAGGTAAAACGCCCGCGGCATCAAGATGGAGTTGGGTATATCACGCACAGACAGGGTCATTGGTACGAAAACATCAAAGGCTCTCTCTGTCACGCAGATTACGTCGCAACGTAGCATTCACGAGGCCTTCGCAACGGTACAACGAAAGGAGCCTCTTGCCTCCCATGCTTGAGAGGGCCTTTAGATGAGATCACTGAGAGGGGGGAGTGGGGGTGCAGTTCGCTGCCCAACGGCCGCCCTGGTAAATACAGCGGGTGTATCAACCAAAAACAAAAAACGAAAAGCGCCGTCTGCATAACAACTATTACATTATTTGTAATAATTTATGTGAGCTAATTAGGAAAACGTCAGAAGACAACGAGCCCATTTTAGAGCACATTCCATCGAGACAGTGAATATACATAAACGGAAGGACGCGCATGCATACAAAGCCACGTTCGTATATTGTTTGACTTAATCAATAGATATGCATATATTACCATGCAGTGTGCACGAAGTAAAAACAATGCCCACAATAGCCACCATGCGCCCGATCTCGGGTTGAGCCTGGGATTGGGCTTGGATGTGCGACCAAATGCATAACAGGTGTTATAGGGTGCTACGGGGCAGCGTTGTCAGTCGTAGGCAGTGCAACCCATTGTTGTATTTTACTACGGCTCTGTCGTCTGCTTGTCGCCTCGCTCAAAACCGCAATGGCCGGCGCGGTGAAGTATGGTCAAATATCAAAATCAGAATGTGTATTTATACTGAGGGAATCCGATGAGATATAAAGCTCTTTTTCGCAGATGTCCACGTCCAAACAGCCGCACCCAAGGATCCGCCCGGCGAGGGGAAACCCTCATCCCTCATCTAGCAGTGGACTGAGAAATGGCACGCATGCTATCAGTGCGGTGGTGAATAATAATGCTGAGCTTGACATTGTCCATTGAAGTGCACCTGTTCGTCAAAAAATGAGAAGTCAAATGTTGCTGCTATAATAATCCTCGAGTCGCACACTCGACCCACATGGACTGACAGCGACAGCAATCGCAGCACAACAGCGGTCGTAACAACAACACCACGTGCTCCAACTTCCTCTTTGCTTGCCAGGAGGTTTCTTTTTATTTTTTCATCAGCCACTGCACGCAATGCATATTACAAAAAAACGTCACATATAGCGTTGAACAGACTGTTGGGGAAAGTGCTGTGAGCGAGTACCTTTGTGCCTATGAAGGACGTTACGGTACAACGAGGGGGTGTCGGTGGTCAGAATCACGCCCGGTGGGCTTTGCCTCTCTAGTGCTGATGTCAACACACCGCACCAGGTACTTATTTAAGGCTGAGTCGACCTTGGGGCTCGGATATCCATCGCCACTGATGCTGACTGTGCTCGGGAATCACACTCATAATGCTCATTTCGAAGCGCGGTATGCTAACCACTGATCCCAATGGCACACATTGCATTACGACGTACGGATAACCACGAATTGGACACGTTCACTATAGGGCCTAGGTAGTTGAAACAACGGTGCAAGTAGGTTTCTGACATTCCCCGCCTCTGTCCACTCAGCACAAGTTCGTCGATCGACAGGTGGGGTAAAGTGTGGGTAGCCAGCCACCCCCAGCAGCGTAGAAAGGTACAGCGCCCTCTAGCACTCTAGAGCTCCCTCTAGTGGAGGGCCTTCCGCCAGCAATGGAGTGGATTATGCAAGAGATTGGCAGGGATGCACCTTTACCTTTTACTGTAGCATTATTTATGAAATCCCACGTAAAATGCGTTAGATTGCTCAGGGAGAACTCAAACCTCACCCAGCCTGCCTGCAACATGTGACACGGGCCATCTGAGCCACTGCTAACATCAGTGGCGAATGATAATTCTGTTCCAGTCACGTCCTTCCCCACTCCACCAAACCCGTACTGAGCAGCACGGTGAAGTATGGGGCGGAGCCCTTCATCTCGTATTGCCCAAACAAAGGGCTGCACGATATTAGAGAGATATAGGCCCTATTAGTTGGGCAAGCGCTATGAGCGAGAAACGATTAGGGCAGACAAGATGGACACTACTGTTTCATGCTATGAAAATATTTGTTATTTTATTTTTCCAGGTGAACCCTATGGCGGGACCCCGGGGTCCCATAAGCCCCTGGCTCTCGCATAAAAATTATATTATAATGTAAACAAAAACTTTGCTCTTTTTCACCAATGGGTTTGAAGGATGGTGGAAAATTTTGTCTTGTTAAACTATGCCTTTAAAACTGAAAACTACTTACCTACAGTGCCTCTATTTAAATACACTATCGAAAAAATAATTTACACCCCTCTGTCAATCATCGTGTTTCTCGGTGTGGATTTGAAAACACACTTTGAAAACAGTACATGAAATAGTGCGCGTTTAAAATGCGCTGTTCATATTGTAACAAGCGTTTATACCAATTTTACTCTACAGAAAAGTGAGTCGCCGCTCCTCTTATCCGCATTGATACGAGCTGTATGTGGAGACTGTGGCTTAACCGCAAAAAAAACCTATCTGCACAGATGCATATGGACAAGAGAAGTATGAATGATCAAATAGGAGAAAGTAACGGTGCAACGTATCTCATCTGTAAAATATCTGCAGGTAATATGATTGTCATCGATTGATCCTGGCTGCAGACATTGGTAGGTCACAAATAATAATGCATATAAGAGAGCAGTTTCACTGTATTATGCATACTCTTTTGACAAATAAAGGACTTGAGTCGTGTAGGCAGTTTGAACAGCTTTGGATAAGACTTAGGATCCTGCCCATACCCGAGCATAGAGTGAATTCGCTTGTTCAGCTCTTCTGCGCATTCGTCCTCGCTGCGCTTGGACGACATGACAACAGATTAATCCGTGCCAGGTGAGTCGCGGCGTTTATTTGCGCGGTGGGACGGAGTCGCCAAAAATAAATAAATAAATTGTCTTATTAATTACGATTTTGACTTCCGTTTATTCGGGACCTCAGAGCTATGTAGCTCTTTTTCAGATGCGACCTGGCCACAAATGATAGCTCTACGAAGTGGCTTATCACGTGGAGACGTATATCAGCCAAATACTCTAAAATCTCAACGCATATTGATTCTAAATGTGGAGTGAAAACCGGAGGACCCGGAGAAAAATCCACGCGACCACTGGGAGAGGATTCAGACGACAAATAGACAGGCGTCAGGCTCGGGAGCGAACCCACGACTTCTTGAAAACCAGGCGAGGCAGTTAACATCTCACCACTCTGTTATGGACCGCCTAATTTGTTGTATTTTTTGTTTTGTTCTCAATTATGGTAGGTGTACATTTATAGCAGCAGTAGATGTGG